CTTTTCCAGCAACCCGAACAGAAGAAGGAGCAATTGAAACCGGGAATTGGATTCCATGGGGTCTGCGATTGGTGTTCTATATTGTTTCGGAAGAACAAGCATATGTTATGCTACAATCGGGTGCATCGGCGGCCTAGAAAACGAGTCCGCGTTCGCAGGCCTTTTGAGGCTTCCGACTCTCGGGCCCCGGTTGTAATTCACGTTGTTCTTCAAGTCTATTCAACTTATTGTATTTTTTATGAAGGAGGCGTGAGATGGGTACAACACATTCCAAGAGTCATATATTTTTTTTCAAGGATCATCAGTTGGCATGGTACGACGGACCGGAAACTATTCATACCACTCTTGAAACCTACTTGAAAGTCCTGTCTCATGTCACATCTCCTCCAAAATCCAAAATCTTTCCAAAAACAACATCTCTCCTCTCCTCCAAAATCTGTCCAAACCATGTATTTTCCTTACTCTCGCTTGTTTGCATACGCAGGGGCTGATGCTGATGCTGATCCAGAGGAGGAAGAGCAAAGTGATTTTGATGGATCAAATCCAGACCTAGAGCTTCAAGCTCCAGCAGACGTGGTGAACCATCAATTCCATGATGCATGTCGTTCTGATGGTGTGTCTTGTCAGAACCTGTGGGATAGAGAATGGAGTTCTACCGGGGGACATGAGATGAGACCTCCGCATCCAAAGTGTAGGAATGTCATTCACACTGTTCCTTAAGTCGGTCCATGCAACAACATCCCTCAGTGTATACAAAGAATATGCAGGTCCTTATGCGCAAATATCTTCAATATCCGTTGCTTCAACACACACACAATCGTATATATATAATATAAATCAATTGTTCCGGTCTGGTGTATATCCGGCGGGGGGGGGGATGCACATGAGTTGGGACCTCCAGATCCAAAGCATTGGAAGGGCATTCAAGCTGTACCTTCTCAGGAGAAGAGTTCCGGAGTTGAAGAGGCAGATGATATGTCACAATGGGGCATCGATGAGGAAAGCGATGGAGAGAAGACCAATGAGAATGAGCGGGAAGGCTTGGGAGGTGAAGTGTCAGATGCAGTTGTTAGAGTGCATCGGACCAAGAAGTACATGAATTCACCAGAATTCCTTGAGTTGCAAGAGATGTCAAAGCAAAAAGGCATTACCTTGTACAGGATTCCTCCAATTGCGGGGGCAGGCGTGTGGCGGCACCCGTCTGGGAGTTTTTGGTCATGCCGCTATAGCGAATCATCAGGTTGGGCCACAGCTTCCTGGGGAAATGGAGCCTTGAGCCCTTTACAGTGCCTGTTGAAGATGCTCCGGCACTTAGCTCGAGAGCATGTTTTGAACGCTCCATCTGATGTGGAGAGTTGGAAGGCTTACTTGGCTCTGCTTGAAGCGGCGTGAGAAAAAAACATATCGCTTACCTTGACTACATATTTCATTGCATTTTGGCCTTTGCGGCCACATGAGATAGGAAATAAAAGCAGGGGTCAGTGAACACACCCTTTCCCATCTCATGTGTCCCAAAATTCTTGATGACGACCTAGTCCTATCTCATGTGTCCAGGTGTATTCAAAAACAAGGTCCGTAAAAGCATATCTCATCAGTCAGTAGTATAATTGAATCTAACTACCTTCTGAAGATATGGTTGGAGCATGTTGGAGCCCTTGTTGCTAAAGGCAGGACATGGGGAGACTCATCAATTTCCATCGAACCTCGCCTACCCCGTTAGTACTAACAACCTTTAACCTTTTTGGGCGTTGATCTCCCCACTCAAAACCAAGAGATGGAAACAAACTAACAGGTTAACCTTGATCTTCCAGAAGAATGAGGAAGTCAGCTTCTCATCCCTCCAATCCAGCTGGCTCTCCAGGAGAGCCTTTGCTGCGGCGGGCACCATCGTCTTCCCTTCCGACATGCAGCGGCACTTGTACGACGGCATGTTCCGACCTGAGGCGTGAATTCGGAATGAGAGCAAGGAACGCCCATTGGAACGCTCTTTGGTTTGTTTTGCATCTCCTGTGTGTGTGTGGATGATGAGGCCTTTGGATAGAGTTCTAGTCTAGAGTCTAGTCTGAACACTTTCATGCCTTCCTGGTTCTTCAGAGCAAGAATTGGCTTTAGCCCAAGTGATGCCAAATTTGAATACAGGGGCCAGCCGGAGTCAAACGACATGTCATGCATACCATCTACCACTCGCACTTGGTCACCATTCTGTCATGCAGGCCGGGCATACCATCTACAATGGGATCCCCCTTCAGCAGCTGAACCAGTTCAAGCAGAAGGAAGATCGCAGAAAAGTGCGAGCAGCCTTGGGCTACACAGATGAAGACTTCGTGGTGTTGCACCTGGGGACCGTTTGCAGCAGGACACTCAGAAAAGAAGTTCGATGCGGACCGACGGACCGCGGACGGTCCGCGGGCCTGCAAGACGTGTGGAGCTTCAGTACTTCAAGGGGTGTCCAATGGAGGTCCCTTAGTGGTGTAGGGGCTTCCAGCCAGGTGACCCCGACATGAAGGTGCTGGTATGTATTCCATGTTTCCATGTTTCAGAGCCAGGGCGCCGTGTTTAAGCGCAAATTTTTGATGCTTTTTCGAGCTGCGCTGCGTTTTGAGGGGGAGTGGGGATTTCTGATGATGTCCTTCCTTTTTCAATTTGGCCCTGTGATTGTCATTTGGCTTCTTGGTGGCCTACTAGTGCATGACAAATCTGACAATCCTCGAGTCTAGTTTGTTCCTTTTAGGTCCTTTTTCGTGACTGTTCCATACTTTTCCCAGACTCAGATTCCAAAATTCCGCCATCTCCAAGGAAAGGTCAAGTCTTCTCGGCCACCGCCTGCTCCAAGCTCATTCAAGAGGCCCCCGCGTGATCACGGAGCTGTGCAGTGTTTCGGGCAGCGTGTAGGTGTGCTATCCGTGTTCCTTCTGAGCTGTTGCACGATCGCGGGTCACTGGTGGGATGATGAGACATGCGATCCCAGTTGTTCCGAGTGGTTCTCCTTTCATCGCCAATGAGGGTGGTTTGAGGACTCCATGTTAAAGGTATCCCCCACAGTGATGCCCCTAGTGGTTGGGCCACTGGGAAGTTCACTGCTAGTGAGCACTTTAGGGTGGTTTGTTTCAGTTTCTCGTGAAAGGCCACGGCCATGCCATGCTGAGATTGAGTGCATGATTCTATTTCATCATGATCCTTTCTCCGTTGGAGCATCACAACGTGAGCCTAAGTCTCAACCCAGAAAGGGCTCTTTTAGAAGTCCTTTTCGTTCAGCCCCTGGTTGCTCATCGAGGACGGCTGCAAGAACCTGAAGCAACTCATCGTGGGCGCACGATACATTCGGGATCACGAGATCAAATACATCGACGAGATCTTTAAGGTTGGGCCACGGCTGCCATACAGAATGCACTGAAGGAATACGTCTTCTGAGGGATGTTTGAGTGCTTTGGTGGGAAGCCTGTGCAGTATAATTAGTAGCGTCGTTTATTATTCCTAGGGATCCAAGTACTTTGTCAGAAGGTGATTGGAGACACTGTTATGTAGGTTTGGAGGGTCCAAGTATCTTCTGAGAAGGTACTTGGATCCCTAGGCCCTAGTATATGTTTGCTGCGGTTAATTTGGTGTACGTTCTTTCTTACGCTCCCATGTTTTCCATTGCCATCTTATCTTCTCCCCCTCGAGCTCGTTGCTTTGTCCCACCATGTCCAGCAGGTGGCTGCCTCACATGGAGTGTCCTGCAAGCGTTGGGAGAACCTGACGGAGGATGAGATCGGAAAGCCACAGATCACCATCATGGACATCCAGGCGCGAACAGCGCGTGGTTGGTTTCTGACTTTTTTGTTGGGGGGGGTGGAGCATTTGTCACATGTGGCTGTGAGGATCCGTCAGGTTAATCGATATGCATTGTATTGCATTGGCATCCTTTCTAGTCCTTGGCAAACCTCACCACCCCCATCCCGGTGCCCAATCCCACCAACCAGGCGCCGTTTCTCGATCTGAAGTCTCCAGCGCAACGACCGGCTCGCCGGTCGGGGGTCGTTGGACGCCTCGACGACCGGCTTGCCGGGCGATGAGGCGGCGGTCTTACGCTTCTACATGGCCGCTGATGTGGTTCTCGTCGCCTCGCTCAACGAAGTGCTGCCGCTGGTGATTTGCGAGTCGAGCGGCAGAAGAGACGTGGAGGGGAGCTGGAGAGACGTGGAGGGCTGGAGCTGGAGAGACGTGGAGGGTTGAGTTTTCATGAGTTTTCCTTCGGGGTGGGTATATGTATAACATGTCTTTGGATTGGTGGGTTTCGGTTCTTTGATACGACAAGCTAGTAAATGATGATTTGTGAGGATTAATGTTAATAAGACAGCATAATAAGTGCCTTTGTGCACGATTCTTTGAGATCTTTGAGAGCTTAATTGCATCATGCAGGCAAAAGACGAACCGACAAAAGAGAAACACAACGCAGATGGGCAGAGGACGTTCTGTCAAGAGCAGCCAAACTATTGCCGTTGGCAGTCTAATGTGGAATCAATAACACCCCCGCGATGCAGAGGTTTTACCATCCACGTATAGGGGTGTTTTATTCATCAACAGTCTACATTATGTGTGCTATGTGTGCTTTGTACCGTTCATGCTATAACAAGGTCCAGGAGGTTTTATACATGTTGAATCATTTTTAGATTGATGTCAGCTATTCGAGACCACATATGGCAAGCGAGACCACACAAAAAGTGTCATTTAGAACCAGCGTTATTTGGTTCCCAAAGCATCAACCGGACGCTGCATGAACCGGACCACGCCGCTATGGAAAAAACAGAACTGGGGCCGTCGCTTCGGAACGCGTGACCGACGTGAGGTCCATGGCTTTCGAGCGCCCCGTGGTGTGCAGCGACATCGATGCGATCCCAGAGGCCTTGACCGATGGCGTAGCGCCTCGGGATGGAGGTGGAGTGTGGATGTGTGGAGGTTCTCCCAAAACAGTGTGGTCAGCTGAGGGGTTCGTATACGGTAGTATATGAATGTATATGATATAGTTGAGGCCGGGCTTATATAGTGAATTCTGGAATTGTTTTATTGGGCGACTTGTTCTTGTTCAAAATGGAGTGTTCTAGCGTTCTTCATGAAAGGGCAGGGTTTGGGGGAGGGTTCAGAGGCCTTGGTCCTGATGCTCCTGATGGTTAGGCGGATAGAAGATGGTATGGGTGTCGAAGAGCCGATCGACTTAGCCATTTGTAAGACAAATTTGGGTTAACTGTATATAACTATCTCTCAACTGAACTCAATGACTGAGGAGGGCTATTTGGTGCCGCCGGCGAACGCAGATGCTTGGGAGAGATTGAGATGATTCTGACCTTTCATCACTGAAAATAATATCAATGCACTGGTGACTTGTTTTGGCACAAAGATCCGTAGGGAACAGGACCAGTAGAATGATTCTGCTATTGAAGGGTGGACGTTATGAATCAAGAGTCATATTCTGCTGCGTCAAGGCATGTCAAGGCTTGGTGTTGTGTTCTTCGCCCAGACTCCCCCCCAAAAAAATAACAACTCGCTGTCAGGATGCCATCCGGCAGAAGGTCTTAAAGCTCTACCGTGATCCGGAGCTCCGACGCCGTATGGGCCAGGCTGGAAGAGCTGCTCGGAGCCTATCACCATGAAGTTCCCAGGTTGGTGGGTTTTGGGTGGCCATGCATGGCAGTGCTGTAGATGCTTGTGGCTGCCATCATGTATTGAATGATATTTCATGTATGTAACCCCCCAGAACGAACGTCTTCCCGTGACGGCGGACCTGAATCCGATGAGTAGAGTCTTGGGGGGGGCGACAGAGGAATGAAGGAGATGTTTTGCGCTGGTTTTTAGGTGATTTTGGGGCGGTCGAATTAGAGTATATAGATGGAATAGACTCCCATGTATGGAATAGATTCCTTTAATGACCCCAATTTGTAGGTCACTTTTTTTCCATGGATGGTCTGGTAGATTCCTTTTGGGATGATCCCAAAACTAGCAGATTTTGCACATGTCCAGCTCCTTGTCACCTAGGCCCGTGTGTTGCGACAGTTCAGCTATGAGCACATGGGCGAGCGCTACCGGGAACTCTTGGACACCGTACGCAGTTCACCTTCATCGGTTCCGGTGACACAAGGCTTGAGTGAGTTGAAGGCGCGAGTTGCTTGCCACGGGCTCCAGGCACTTGAACTGTTGCATTGGGAGCGGTGCAACGACCAGACACATAGGTCGGTTTCGGGGGTCGCACTCTCGTCAGGTTTGCAACATCATGTTTTTACAACATGTGAAGTTCATGCTTTTCAGCCTTCATTGTTTGGACCAAGCTTGCTTGCCACGTGCTTATGAAGCCATGCTACGTGCTCCAGGGGAAGACGGTGCTGGTGGACATGGACAACACCCTGGTGGACTGGGACGGCGAGTTCATCCGCCGCTTCGCCAAGGCCAGCGGCCGAGCCATCGAGGAGGTGGAAGAGATTGTGCGGAACCGAAAGAAGTTCGAGATTGAGGAGCAGCTTTTGGAGTGTTCTTTTAGGGTTTGGGAACAGCTTTCAGCTTTGGAACAGCTTTAGAGTGTGTGTTGTTTTTTGGGGTTTGGAACCACTTTCGAGGCGTTTTGGAGTGGCTTTGGAGGGGTTTGGGAGTGGTTTTGGAGCAGGTTTGGAGTGGTTTTGGAGCGATTTTTTGACCGAATGTTGCAGAGTCTCGCGCTTTTTAGTGCTATGCAAAGTTTTGGGATATGATTGTGATATTTGATGATATTTGACATTTGTGTGTACACGGAGGGAAGGGGTGTCATGAAGGATGGCGGCCTGGTTTGGTGGCTCGTGCTTGCAGGAGAATTTCCCCGAGGCGGACCGTGCGCTGGTCTTGGACGTCATCGCCTCTCCGGGCTTCTACGAGGTCTTAGAGCCCCTCCCCGGGGCGGTCGAGGCGGACGGCTTAGGATGTAGCGCGGTGTGTCGGGGTGAGAGTTCGGGCCACCAACCACTCATTGTTGGCCTGCGAGTTGTTTGACCAATTGCCAATTGTGTACAAACACCTGGATTCTAAGAGAACGTGTGAGGTGACCAAGGAAACCCAAAGTGCACCTATAGCTCGCGCCGAGACGAAAAACGACCAATCTTCATGATTTGCTGTCCTGGTGGCAGTGGATTTCAACATCGCCTTTGGCAGGGCTTCTTTGAAGAATTTGATCCCCTACAAGTCCTTTTAGAAGTGGATGAACTTCGATCGGTGATGGCTCCACTTGTCCAAGAGATGTGCATGACTTGTACCATTACTTATGTATAAAACCAGCCTTCCTGTTCCGCGAAGAACAGGTTCAGCATGAAGGAGTCCCAAGCGGAGTCCTACTATGTCCAAAAGATTGTGTGAACGACATCCTATATATGAACATCATTTAATATTTGGTCTATTCAAACCCCAAATCTGGTACTCGGGATGGGTGCAGCAAGAAAGCTGGGTTTGGAAGGCTGAACGCCGGTTTCTTCCAAAAAGCTGGTTTGACCATGTTTGAACATCAGCTGGAGGGGAGTTCATTGATTTTTAACTCAAAGAGGTGCGCTGCTATGTGCTGATTCGGGCGGCTGGGTCGTTACATGAACCTTTGGATCGTGGAAAGATCCGGAGCTTCAGGCAGCCAGGTCCAGAACCCTTTGAGAATGTTTCAACTTCCAATCAATTTGATGCCTTTTTTTGACCAGGAAGATGGGTAACATGGCGAACTTAACGCGAGCATAAGAAAAAAAAGACAAACTGAATGGAGTTTAAACATTCTGTTGTGGAACTGTGTTGGGTGCCGTCCATTGGCTATACGGCTATACCTTTCAAAGTTATACTATATACTCTCACCCAAAGCATCAACGATCCACTGGAAGATGGAAAAAATCGACCAGTCTACCCAGCTACGGGCGAGATCTCGGGGCTCTCCCACATGGAGGAACATGGGTCTCACATCAGCTGCCAGGCCTTGAGCACTCTGGTGACTTCTGGTGTCGACGTGAAGTTGCTCAGTGCTCCACATCCCGTGTGCGCCGCGAGCTGCGCGAGGGAGAAATTCCTCAGCGTGGAAAGGCTGTTGGGTGAGGAGTTCCTCGAGAGGCGGGGCGTGGGACGGGGGGGAGTTCGGATGTTGGATGCAATCAACATGGTTTTGTTGGGGGGATTTCACTGGTTTGATTACGACAACTTGTGTGCTAGCAGAACAATAAGGAACTAATATGTATATAATAAGGAACTAGACGGCTAGATGTGTTATTTTGTACTGTACCTGTTCTCGTCTTCTAGCAGGGGCTACGGTTTTAATCCCTTCCACCTAAAAACACACTTCCCCACCACAAAACTAGTTTTCATCAAACAGGGGGGCCCCCGATGGCAAGGAGCTTCAACACTGGAAAGTATTGATTTGATTTGTATCATAAATTGAAAGAATCACTCCAAATCGAAAGGTTTTCCTTTTTCCACTTTAAGGCCCTTTATTAAAAGCTACAGTATACGTCCAATTTGTTCACTTGGAAAGCTCCCATCAGACCAACAAACATGCATTCTATTGATGATGTATATGGATTCCTCGGCGAGTCTCGTGCCATTGGAATTATGGCTGGTGAGCGCCACGGTTGGTTAGTACATCTCATGCTTAAAAACAACTGCCCAAAAATGTCACTCGGGGCATTTTTAGTATTGAACAATGGGCGAACTAACGTGAACTAAATGTTGAGGAGGCCACTCGGGATATCTCGGGATTAATGTCGACGTCGGATTAATCAACGGGCCCCGCCCCCCCCCTAGAAGGTCAACAAGGTCAACAAGGTCTGAGATTGGAGGTTTTGGAGATCACATCCCCCTAATAGTGGGGATGACCTGATGATGAAAGGGAATTAGTATTTGGAAGAATTGAGATGAAAGGGAATTAGTATTTGGAAGAATTGGAATGAAAGGGAGTTAGTATTTGGAAGAATTGAAATGAAAGGGAATTAGTATTTGGAAGGGTTGGGATGAAAGGGAATTAGTATTTGGAATGCAATGTGTGGAAATGCACTGCCTATCAAGAGATGGCATGGGAAAAGAGTGGATCAGAAGATCAGTTTCACCATGGCAAGACAAGAAAATATTGAACAGGCAAAAAGAACAAAACTAATTAAACACACATATATATATATATTTAAGTATATAATTTTTTTTTCCTGGTGGGACAGGGGGTAGACTAATAGGGGGGGGTTCAGCCAAGCAATTTTTTTATTAGAGGGTGGTGACTGTGGAAATTCATAGTTCAAATTAGTTTATTTTTGGGGCCTGACTGCTGGGTAGACTAATAGGGGGGGTTGGTTAATCCTATGTTGACATTATATACAGTTAGTTTTGACATCCCCACTCAGGATTGGGGTTGAATTGCAGTTGCGTTGGAGTTTTTACCAAGCCTAGGTGCCAAAGATCTATAATAGTATTTCGGCAACATGTTGTTCTCGAGCTATTGTGTGTACGTTTGGTTTGTCCGTGGGCATCCTTAGTTTGATGTTTGATGCAGCTCTCCAGGTTGATTATCACCCGCGACAAGACGCACGTGCAAGGGGAGATCTTGGTGGATGATAAGCCTCAGGTCACTGGACGAAAGGCGGCCGTGTGGAAACACGTGCTCTTCAACCAATCCTACAACCAGGACGTGCAGGCCGGCACAGGTGGAGTATGGTGGAGTCAGATTGTCATGAACAACTCCACAGTCCATGTGACGGGATTTTTGTTGGCCGGTTCGGGGGGAGAAAAAAACGTAAGTACAGTATAGTACACTACAACATTTACCGAGGAAGACATGGCCGAAATGGATGTAGAATACTCTAAATTATGTTGTTTCGGCTGTCCCACGATGTTCCCAGACCAACGCCTGTAAAGGGTTATCCGTTTTGACAAGAGGGGCTGGGTCGTGGTGTGGCGGGCTTCTTCGGCGCTGCAGGGCAAAGTGAGGATGCATTCTTGGTCGCAATGGGCTGAGACCTTGCCAGGTGCACTCTAAAAATCCTTATAATCCTTCAATTACTCTAGCTGCAGAGTCGATGGTGCCTATCCCAACAAAATGATGCCTAGACCTTCACGTTCTACGCGGCTGTTCTTTTCAAGAAAAGCACGGTGTTTTCAGGTCGGAGTTGCGTCATGTACTCTGCAGCTAGTGTATCGTTTCTGATGTTATTCCAGCTGGAGAAGTGTTGGCCACTCCAAAAGGGAGTGCTGGCCACGGCAACTGTCCAAGATCAAGCTAGAAATAGATTCTTTCCCCGAGGCTGAGAAAATGAGTTGTAAGTGGTTGTTAGATTGCCGTAGCCGGTGAACACTTGCTAGCACTGGACAATACCGACTTGAGCGGCTCTTTCCTTGTGTGGAAGGCTGAGCCAAGGCTGAGACTTGAGCGGCTCATCACTCAGCGATTGTACAGAACCATTGCCTGGTACAGATTCAACGGCAATCCAATCCCCAACCACGCGGCACTCCCCTGGAACCGACGCTAACGCAACAGGCTGAAGGAAAACGCATGGCATTCGATACTGGTTTGGACGGCTCGTTTCACCCGGGGGTGTGCATCGCTTCACCGATTCGGCTGCAAGCTGGCCGCAAAGTGCCGAGGGGAGAGGCGTGTGGTGGTTCATGGTGCATCATGGTATAGCCCTAGTCGAGTATTCCATGCACAGCCACATGCACAGGTACTAGGCAATCAGTAACCAGCAACCACCCTGGTTTTGCTTCAAATTGTTGGATTCTCACGTCACATGTTGGTGCAGCTTGGCCTAGGACACCTCAGAGCTTCCTTTCAGATGATTTTCTCGCTCTTTGTCAGGATGAGCATCGGGGCCTTGGTAGTCATTGATGTCCACGCGAAGGCGGGGAGTGGTGACAGGCCAAGAGGGTTCATCACATGGGACGAAGAAGTGGAAGAAGGGATTCTTCAATAGATTTAAATATTTGAAAGCAATAGGGTAGGGAGAGATTCCCGGGCCCAGATTCGGTGGGGGGTTGCGGAGGTCTCTCAAATTCATGACCTCATGTTTCGCCACTCTTTCAGACGACCTGAAAGAAATGCACTTCTTCGATATCTCAACACTTTCTCCACATTCACTGCATGATGTCCAGTCAACAAAGAAACAGCCACATCGTTAACACTGCCTGGTGACCCGCATGTTCACGCCGTTCGAGCCGTTTGGTTCGCGCCATGCCCGCGTCGCCATGAGGATACTGTGGAGAAGTTGGCCAAGGAGAAGATCGACGATTGCATGTGGGGCCGCCTGCCGTTCAGCGGTACAGACCGTGCGAGGGTGGCCTGGATGATGTTCTCCACCATGTTTTGCTTGTTGGAATGTAGGGAAAGTTGAGTCAGTTCCCCTGAAAACAACCGATTTAGGGCCTGGAACTTGAACAGTTAGCTTGGAAGTGTCAGTTCGCATCCCGTCAGTTCGCATCGCCGTCCTTCTTCGAAGTGTCCACCACCATCCGGAAGTGCGAAAAATCCTCCGTCCGTCCGTCGACCATGCAGTCCTTGGGGTCATTACTGGGCCACCTGGACGGCCGGGCCGCAGTAAGTTCTTGCCTGGGGGGGGAATGACATGCCTTGCAGTGCTATGGTTGGACGGCTGGCTACATGTGGAATTACATGTTCCAGATGGTTGGACGGCTGGCTTCTCAGTGCCCTGAGACCGACGGACTGAGACCAACGCCAAGGTGTGTTTCACCAACAGGAGATGCAGCTCAGTCCAGTCACCCATCCTCATGGGGCCCTATGACATAGGTTAATTCAAGCTGGTTCTAGGAATATTTAATATTTGTGGACCCATTTCTTATTGATTTGCATCCGAAATCCAGCCTCATCCTTATTCAAGCCTTACCTAGTTCTACTCAATGTCGCCATGGCAGGTCGTTTGAATGGATCTCTCAGCTTCGCTACTATTGGGAGATGGACGACCGCAACGCTGACACTTGGAGTGATCTAGGGTCCAAAAGGGACCAAACACAGAGGGTACATGCTCTAGACATCTCTAGACGATCTTGATCTTGCTTCGTGGAGGGTGAGGGTATTCAAACCGAAACCTCCAAGTTCACCTGTGGGAAAACCAGCCAGATCCTGCCAGATCCGCAAAATAGCTTTAAGCAGAGAAGATCAGGGCATGTACCACTGTTTCCACACTGACCCTAAGGTTCCAAGTTCACTGACTTCCTAAAGGCTTGCACTTTCATTTCAGGGCCCAAGATGACCCAACTTCCTCCAACTGCCTCATGAAAAAAGGTGTGTTCCAACCACCGTCCAACTGCGTCCCGACCGTCTCCGACCGTCTCCGACCGTCGTCCCGACCCGCGGAAGACCAAGGAGAACATGTGGGTCCCTGGGCTCGGTGGAGCGTCGGGTGGCGTTCGTGGGGGTCGGCCGACCGGTGTTTTTGTTGGTTGGGGGGCGTTCGTTGGGGGGACACCACACTAAAGACCAACAGGTGGAAAGATGCGGAAAGTTTGGTTTTAACAACATGTCAGTTGTCCATTTTGTTCCTCTGAGGAAGTCAAATTGCAACTTGATCTTTTCCTACATTGGGCTGGTTTCGGGGGTCAATGCCGGTATTGTATCAATTCCGTACATGTGGCATCAGGTTTCGCACTGCTTGCTTTTTTTTGGTGTGGGTCAACACTGTTTGACTATGTTTGACTCGTTTTTGCGCGGAAAGGCATAATTTTGTCGGAGCGAACGCATCGTGAGCCTAGCTTTGACGGTCTGGACCCAGCAGGGTGCTTTGGGCGCTTTGAGCATAGATGGACATGCTGAGCTGTAGGGCTTAGGGCGGTGAGCATACACTTCCTCCGCCCAAGGAGCAGCTTTCCACTGAAATGGCCATGGGGAGCTTTGAAAAAGGGGGAGCCTTTCAAAAGCTTTGTGCATCAAGAGTGGCTGATGTGAGGTGCGAATGGTGCAGACTCCATTCCCCTATGGCCCTCCTGGCATGGCTTAATCTTGGGAAGAAGCGTGGCAGGCCAAAGGATGTGGCTACAGAAAGGCTGGCAAGCTTGCCATCAGGAATTGGACAGTCTTGGCTGAAACATGTGGAGCAATTCCTAAACATGCAATGCATGACATCAAATTATTGTTGTTCCACCTCCCATCATCCATGACATCAAAGCTGGCCTTCCTGCCGCACCTGCCGCCAGGCTACGAGTATTTGGGCAATTCCTTCCGTCTGGTGATCACACCCTTGACTGACATGCCCTGTGCTGAGATACCTGAGAAATCCTGAGAAAAACAAACACACAATGAAACAATAATATCAAATAATTACATTGACAAAAAGTCAACCCTCACATTTGAAAGGCTCAGCGTGCTAAAAATAGGGCATGCTCCCCCAACCTGGTGTGTTAGCAAGCTCCAAAGCATCCCAGCAAGCTGCTCCAAAGCATCTTTGCTGATCTCGAGGTGCTACATGACATTGATGGGTGCCCAAAGTGCGGATCGCCAAGCACCATCGGATGCGGTTCCGCGGAACCCGCGCGAAGCCCGCGGAACGGTCGAGTGGATGGCATGGATCTTGGATGGAGGATGGTACCCCGTTTTCCAGCTCTCGAAGTACTTTGCTTGAGGAAATGGCCACAAAAACATTTGAAGCATGCGCTTGGCAGTCGTCACCTCTCTTCAGCACTTCCAATAAAACTGACCGATACTAAAGCGATACTACAAGGGATACTACAAGGGACCAAGGTCGCTGTAGTCGCGCTCCGTCCCAGCGACACCCGAGGCCTCAACCTGGGCGGTGCGCCGGCGGGGCCCGCGGGGACCGGAAAAACGGAGACCACGAAGGACTTGGCCAAGGCACTGGCGAAGCAGCGCGGGGACCTGGAGCTGCGCGGAGCCGGAGGGGATGGGGGAAGTGGGGGAGGTGCAGGTGCGTGCAGGTGGGTGAAGAGGTGGAGAGAGGTTGATGAAACTGAGGAAGTGGATGATGGGAAGTGGAACATGAACAAACTTCTCATCAATCCATGAGTCACACCTGATTTGGGATTCACAATGTGGAGAGTCCTGTGCCCTGTCAGTACTTCAGCGGGGGAACACCTGCCGAGGGTTCTTTACACCAGACCTGACTGTTGCACACCACGCACCACGGCCATGCATCGCAATGCATCGCCATGCGCTCGCGACACACCTTGCTGGCAAGGTGTGTGGTGTTCAACTGCTCTCCGGAGATGGATTACCTCATGGTGCCTTGGATGTGGGTCTAGTCATATGTATATATTCTCCTAAGAGGCATTGCCTGGGACTGGGTCACTTGCTCACCAAACCTTTGAACAGACTCACTGAAAATCCATGAGTGTCTTTCAGGGATGTATGGTAGACCCTGTTAGCATTCCAAGATGACCCTGTTAGCATATGATGAATTGTATAACGTTAGCAGTACTGTTAGCTGAAAGTTGATCTTCAAAGACCTCTTTCGGAGTGGCCCAGTTCTTCTTGGCTCGCCCAGTACTCTGTTCGCATGTGACACAAATAGGTGTGGACATTGCGACAACTAACATCAAAATCATTCAACATCTCTGGAACTGCTCACTTTTAGCAGCCACCGACTTAAATGCCAGGACCTGCTTGGGTTGCTTGATGGACACCTGCCTTTTAGCAATAGTCGATAGTACTGTAATCATCATATTCTCGCGTATTCTGGTGCAACATTCTGTTGGAAATCCTGAATTTGATACCCTTCTTGGCTGGTTCCAAAAGGATGTTCAGAGAAGAGGCAAGGCTCTGCGTTGTTTTGCATATATACGGCGTATGTACGGAAGTGAGGCTGACACTTCCTCAGTGAGTGTGATACGGTTTTGATCCATCCGCCACTCAGGTGGGGAAGTTCTTCAAGGGTTTGGCCTCCAGTGGTGCTTGGTGTTGCTTCGATGAATTCAACCGCATTTACATCGAGGTGCTTGGGCGGATTTAGCCGATCGCGGAGGTTTGGATCCCATTCTATGGTGTATACAGTAGTTTCAGAGTAGATGGCACAAACCCTACATGTCTTTTACTTTAGATGGGGGTCCATATAAATCACCTTTTGGGGATTGTGCCATCTACTCTGAAACCACTGTAATAGGCTATAGGTAGATACTGGTAGGGTCTATTTTGCGCTTGTATGCGCTTGTGCATCTACAGAATCACCAGCAAGACCCTGCCCTCCCCATATCCGCTTGCCGCTTTTCCGGGCCACACCGGGCCACTCTGATTTCACCCACGTCGGTCGGCTTGGCGTCCTCCTGGTTAGGAGGTTCGGGTGCCCAGTTGGAGAGGGCCACAAGCAGCCTGAGAGCACTCCTTTGCAAAGATACCTTTACCAGTGCCGTCCTCACCCTTCTAAATTGTTCATTCCACACTTCCCCCCTGTCCTACTTCAAAGATGTCCCGTCGTTGTTCAGCGACGCCGCCGCGTCGCGGCGTCATTTTCGGCAGGTGTTGAGCGTCATTGCGCAGCAGCTGTTGCAGCTTTTCAGCGCCAAGCGAGAACTCACCAGCTACAACGTGCCTTGGGAGAAAGCAGTGGGTGGAGCATCTTCACACGGAAGTCCCCACCTTTTGTGGACAAAAACACAGGAGCACGAGACGCAAGTCCCCGATCAGGTGGACGGTGCGGTGTTTTTTTCGTCTTTCCAAATCGCTCAGGAGTCGGACTCTTCTTCACTCTTTGATTCCTCAAGAGAATTCGATTGATGTTCAACAGTATCACTTGTCACTTAAATGTAGATTAAATTGATTAATTAAAGGAAATCGAAACATATGAAGAGGTTTTTACACCCCATGTTTGGAGGGGGGCGGTGTAGTTTTTCTTCTATATTCGATGTGTGGTCGACCCGTGGAGCTAAGGACACCGTGGAGCTGGAGTTTGACTCCACCTTGATCACCATGAAACCAACGTTTAACGTGCGGATCTGACGGAAACGGGATGCGCGGCGTGGTTTTGCCAACTCACCGGTTGACATGTTTGGCGATTGCTGGACGATCTTCATGACCAGCATGAAGCTTTGGAAGACTGGCCATACTTCGACCCTGCCGGGCTTTTTGTGTGTTCTCGGTTTTGTTGGAGTTTGCGCCAGGTCTTCATCACGATGAACCCCGGATATGCAGCTGAGTTGCAATTTCGGCCTCGGGAAAGGGGACAGAGGTCACTTTGGTGCTTTTGGTTGGATCCCGGTTTGGAGAGGTTAAACATGGTGGATCACCGATTGTTGGCTCTTCAGTGATCCATGCCAGGCATTCTCAGAATTCATGAAGTGATCATTACACTGTCCATTTGAGCATTTCAGACTCCAAAAAGGAGACCTTTGCCTGGTTTTGCATAAGGTGATTTTTTCAACTGATTATCCATATGGTTAAATCCCCTTCCGGGGAATATGCTTTAGAGCCGCAAATCGAAGTCATTAGACATTCGTTGACCAATCGATCCTGTTCCGGTCCCCTCCCAACACCCACGTCCCCGGTTCACCACGACGCGGCTCGGGCGCGCGCGAAGGCCGGCCGCAGCGAACTTCCGGACAACCTGGCCGCACTCTTCCGACCAATGGCCCTTCGGTGCAGAGGGGACGGACGGACGGACAGCCTAAGCATATAAGCCTAAGCGTGTGTATCGATAATAGGGAGAAGCCCCCCCCTAGAAGGAAACTAGACCCAAACCCATTGGGCAATTGGTTTCTCCCTTTATATACATCATGTGTTTGCTCGACGGAGCGGACTTCTTTTCGTTCTAAGAAGCAGGTGGGCCACCGGGTGGGCCTGGTGTTGTGTACATGACGTTTGGCGGTGGGAGTGTTGCACGATGCAACAAGCCTTTCAAAGAGCCTAGCGCTCATAGAGTCCTGTAGACGGCCTGGTGAGGGAAGATCCAATTTGACACCATTGATCTTGGACCATCTAAAGTCGACTGGGAAGAAACCCGTCATTATATATATGTCTCTCGGTTCACCCATTCTGCAACCACTGACCTTTGTTCAACAAACACCATCACCATCCACCATCCATCACCTGGAGTTCCATGATCCATCACCTGGAGTTCCATGATCCATCACCTGGAGTTCCATGATTTATGGTGCGTTTTCAGGACCATTTCCTCCATATTCCTCCATCCGCCTAGCTTCGTCTCCTCTCCGACCGACGGGACCCGGTGCGCGTGGACCGACCCGGACCCCGAGGCCATGATGGTGCCCGACTATGCGATGATCGGCCTGGACGCCCAACGGGGCGATGTCGGAAAGATCTCCACTCACTTGTCTAAATCTCTTTGTCACATTATATTTTAGCCCTAGACTTATGGCCACACACCCTTGGGGTGTTCATGAAGGCTGTGAATTTGGGTTGCACCTGGCGGAGTTTTCGTGGAGCGCGACCAGACGGCTCCTGGCAGAGCTCGGGACACTTTTTGTGGTCACACTCCAACCACGACGGACGAAAAGAGGAGAACACAGAAAGTGCTTGTTGACCTGAGTTTACCGTGCAACGCCTTTTACTTGGGATGCCTTATTTGTGTTGCTTCTTGACTTGGACAACTGTGTGTAAAGTCATTGACCGTTGGCATTGGCGGTTGCCTAGTTGCGCCTCCATGTTTGGTTCCCATCCTTTGGCCCAGCACGCACTGCGCCCTTGCTGGTGAGAAATGCTGCTCGAGATGAGGTGAAATCAGTTTCTATGCCTTCGGCTTTGAGAAGGGCCGGCACTTAGCCAAGAAGATGGCCAGCTCCTAAGTGCTTGGCCTGCGATACTACATAAACTTTGGCTCATGATGGCTCATGCAGAAAAGAGGTACCAAAAAGTTGTAGAAGGGAATGACCCTCAGTGCTGTTGAAGCACACTCCAGCTTTTGATCACTCCAGAGTCAGGAAATTTACCACCCCTAGGTGTTAGCACAGTAGTGTTATAGTGACATATAGTGACCCCTGGTTTTTCATTTGGGCTAGTAGGGATGTCAAGAAGTTTTGCTTTGCCCAGGTCACCACATTCCAGCTCTGTAGTGAACAGCTCTCTGCTCAGAGTCACTACGACTATGGCATGCGCGCGGTCGGGGCTCAGAGTCACTGCGACGGAAGACTGCAGTTTGGCCACCCTGACTTGTGACTATTCACTATTGGAATCACAGGAGATGACCTCGACTTGCAAGCAGGCCAGTCTTAGTAGTCGACTGTCCCTGAGCACAGTCAAGGAGAAATATCATGGCCCTAGCCACAAGGCAGTTTGCTATATATTGCTTGGGTGTCCGTATCAAAGACACGGCATTTCAATGCATGTCATTGTTGTTGGATTATGAAGCCAAACAGAGTCTTAAGAAAGTCCCCAAAGCCGTGCGAAAGACAACCTGTAAATTATTTGAACAATTGAACCCTGAAGTTTCACCTTTTTCATAAACATGTTCCAAGCTGAAATAGCGCAAAAGGATGCAAACAGTTTGTTTGGGATTCTCTTCCACTCTCTTCCACTCTCTTCCACTCCCAGCTTCACAAAAAAGCACACATCACCTGAACATGACCTCAAAGACCGGATTCACCGGGTCGCTCAGAAGTCGGGACCCACGGGTGGGGGCGGTTTGGGCGGTTTCGAGGTGAAGACCGTGATCGAAGCGGCAGGGCTCAACAAGCGGAAGTATCCGGAACCCGGGCGGTTTTGGGGCGGTACCGCCCCACTGCGGAGTGGGGGAGTGGGGGAGTGGGTTGCAAAGAGGGAAGTGCACAAAAAGATGGGCATTGATCATATGATCAAGTGAATGCAGTAACTATATATAAGGGTTTTTTGTTGATAGATGGGAGTGAGGTAGGGGTTGCTGTTCAGGTGTTGTTTTGGAATTCAGGGGTGCGATTTGATGCAATCTCCCTGGAACACATTCCTAAGCACTGATACACACCATGAACATACATGAGCCACCCATGGCGAGTGATTTGTGGGGGTGGTTCGTTCAACAGTTGAGGATCCTCCAGTCCACCATGTAGCGAGTTCTTTCTTCAAAGATCTTCCAGGTAGGTCAACCCAGGTCTTTTGGGTGCTGACCCGCAACCACTTTTCTGGCCCGGACTGTGCTCCAGTCCGGGACGAAGACTTGCTCGCAGACCTGCTCGCTTCCGCGGGAGCTCCTGCGACGCGAGGATCAGAGCGAAGCACAGATCCTGCTACGAGCCTTGCAAGATGTGAACGCCCGGGCGCCTGAGGGCGGCAAGACCTGCGCCTTCATGGGTTTTCTTTGCCTCATTCCTGAAGGTCCAAGACCTTGGCTGTTTGGGGTGCGATATGTTTTCTAAAGACTTTCTCATCCATCCAAACAGCCAAATTGGGCTATGACATGTATATGTTCTAATCCTTTCATCGTATCCATTTTTCTGAACTGCGATGAACTTGACTTGTCATGGTTAGTGTCAGATGTTCTGAGGAAGAGGTTTGTCGCATGTTGCAGAAGTTCACATATGCAGACAGGTCTACACCCCCAAGACACCGCTAGAAGCCCTCACAACATACTGCCACGAAGCCCGATTTCTGCCACGGCGCACGTGAAATCGACCGGAAAGTGCTGGATGTTTCTGCAATCCAGACAGACACAACTGACAGGGCCCAGGGCTTCAAAGTCACATTGTTGGCTCAAGTATGTTAATAGTAGTTATGTTAGTATAATAACCACTGTCACGTCGGTAGTCCTTCAATGATCCCATATGACTATATAATGGGTGCGGAGATCGCTGGGTGTGGCGTTCCACTTGTTTCGAAGCTGGTGGGACCGACCGTTTGCCGCACTCCACTTATAGTTACGCAGATAGTTGGCACCAAATGGCACCGTCGAACGGTGGGGCCCAAGGTGCCCAAGTTCTTGAAGGATGACTTGCCACTCTTCTACAACATCATCTCAGATCTCTTCCCAGGAGTTGAGAAGCAGGGAACCTCAGCGGTTCGTTTCGGAGGCCATCCTTGGAGGGCTGAAGGCCCCAACTTACATGAGCACATGAATTCCATTAAAGTCAGCTATTGACGGGTGAAAGGTGTTGATTGTAGGATTCATTGCCGTTCCAGCTCCTTGTCAAAAGAAGGTGGCTGTGTCAGTTTTTGTTTTGAGTTTCTTCGACTGGGGCAGTGGCTACCATGGAGGCAACTGGGCTGGTTTTTGGGGAGGGTATCACGATAGTCAACCCAATGCACAACCACCTTCACCAGGCAAGGCGGGCGTGATTGGGTTTGCTGAATGCATGCCATATCTCATAACAGTCATCGGATCGAACTATCAGAAGTTGTAGTAGAGCTAAGATCATCATGCATTAAAAGGAATCTCGTAGTGGGCAGAGCTCAGATATGGGGTAAAGGCGATTCGCGTTTGCCACGAGGCCTGCTATTGACTACGGAAAGCTGGATGAGATGGCTCAAGAGAAGTCGAAATCCTTCAACTTGCAACCTGGCAGAGTAAAATGCAAAAGGACCACCTTCTAGCAGAAGGTGTGGAAGTGGGTGTTCTTGCTTTGCTTCTTGCGTTGTTTTGGGTGAACGTGGGGTAATAGGGGGAGGCAAGAGGTTTGGATATGTTTTGCTGTTTTGTTGTGCGCCAAGATTGGTTGGGAAGGTTTTGTGAGGCCAAAAGTGTGACAGGAGTTGTTTTTTTGTTTTGACAAAGCCCTATGGATTTGTCATTTTGGTGTGAGCTGAGGCAACCTACGGATTACTTCATCAAGAAACAGTTTGAGCTCTTTGATATGATCCAGGTCTTTGGATTTGTCCTGCGCGGGGATGGCGTCCGGAATTTGTCCTGTGATGTTGTTTTTTCCACGCAAGATGCACGCTGGGTGGGACAATATGCGACGGATTCTTCAACAAGAATTCATGCATTTTGTATAGACACGGGTGAACACAATCTCTCTCTCATTAGTGTCTTTAGATCTCTTTAGTCTCTCGAGCAGACATGCAGGTGGGAGCCATCTGCAGAGGGTTCCTGAAACCTGCCATTGGCAAACTTGCGTCAAAGTCACAAGGATTCTCCAAGGGTGAGCCGCTTCAAAAACCATTTCTGACCGTCCCTACTCGGCGTGGTTAGAACACTTGGGTTTCAACAGCCGGTTGGGGCCTCGCAGATTTTATAGGATGGTTTGACGAGGGACATTCCCCCCATCTACACCATAGTACCATGATATCTATCCCTTTCTTTGGTTGTATCGTATATATCGGTATATTGTTATGAGTATGTGTGTAAGGCCATTTTGGAAGTCTAGACATCTCAGGAAACCAACCTGGTTCACGTCTTCTCTTTGGCCTCGCTGTCAGGTGCGCCATGGCATGATGCTGGTGGGACCCACCGGTGGTGGCAAGACCTGCTGCTACCGGACCTTGCAGGCGTCCGGGGACCGGACCGAGACAAACGCCCAAACACGCGACCCTAGGCCCTATGCCTTCGGGTGGTGCCAGGGGGGTCTGTCTGGGGCGGCATATCTGGCAGTCCCATTAGCCGTGTCTAGGACTGCCATATGTATATTCCAGTCCCATTAGTCGTGTATGGGATCTACTTCAAGTCCCATCGAGTGTCATCGACTTGAAAGGGATTGGTCATGGACTCCAACTGAAGGGTTCTTAGGAACAGGTCGAGATTTTATGGGGGTTGGATTCAGGTCCGTTCCAAAAGGTTGGCTGACATGCCAAGCACTTCCTTTGGAAGGGGATTTCCAGAGCAGTCTCAGTTCTATTCCAGACCTTGCAACAAAGATGAGCAGGATCTACGCACGGCAAACGTGGGGTTTGGAAGAAAGTGATTCGCTTACGGTATATGTTGCTTAGCCGCTTGAGGATTCATTGCATCGACAACAAAATGTTTCTTCATGACTGGTATGGATCTGGAGTTGGAGGATTGCCTTGCAGAGACTTGGGGGGTCACATTGTGGTGTCCGTTTTCGTCGCCACATCCCGGCGACGTCCGCGACATATGCTGAGTGTGCAGACGTGTCAGGCTGCTTGCACGGCCCTGGTGGAACCAAAGGCCGGGATGCCGATTCTCCAAGAGAGGTCAGAGCGCGTTAAGGGGCGGCAGAGCTTTCATGACTAGCTTCCAGGGTGAATCCAGCCACAGGTGCCAGTGTTTATTCAACTTTATGCATATATCATATCATCAAACACATATTATATTACTGTATATTTGTGAGTTTTGCCCGGGGCTTCTTACTGACATATGATGTGGAGCCAGTCTAACCGATCTCCAAATCTCGATCCTCAGGACACGGAGTCGCCGTTCCAGAGGACTCACGTGCACGTGTTGAACCCCAAGGTGGGAAGAACGGAGAGCGATTCGACGCCGTTCGGAACGAACGCCTCGACGTTCGGAGAGCGATCGACGGGCAGACGAAGAGAGGAAGGGTCAGGACGTGTCCTCCGCTCGCGAGAGCAGGCAGCGCGGGGCGGTGCGGACGGAGAAGCTTTGTCAAGAATGTTTTATAATATACCATTGAGCAGGAGTAGCTTCACCATGGCATAAACGACAGGCATTCAGAGATGTGGGGTGGGCAGAACTGAGCACCATTTGCATGTTCAAGACCTTGAGCAGATTTGTTGGATGAGAGAATGATCCCTCACCGGTCACCCCAAACGAAACAATGGTACCCCATTTGCAGACCCAGGAACTAAGTAGACGTTGATACCGCTCTCAAGATCTCTCAAGAAGAGTGACTTTGATGAAATGCCTTTTGGTTTCTGACACGGATCTAACCAATATGGATTCATGATAGGTCAATACCAAAGCAAACCTTGTGGAAGCTGGGAAGATGTTGTTTCTTTGGGTTTTCCTGTCCCTATGGATCCACATACCTTGTCAGAAGGTATTTGGGGCACTCCAAGCGTACATTCGTACATAACAGGGTCTCCAATCACCTTCTCAGAAGGTATGTGGATCCATAGGGTTTGGATAGGCAATTGATAAGCAGCCGTCGGTCGTCGATCATACCGTTGTTGTCCAGGCCATCACCCAGAATCAGCTCTATGGCGCGTTCGATGAGGTGCACGGTGGTCCGTGGTGACGGATGGCAAGTCGTGATGAGAACAGAACAAGACCTCAAAGAACTCCCAACAGGGCTTGGTTGCCGTTGGGCGTCTCTGTGAGACGACTCCGGGACGAGTCATGCCCGCCAGAGACAGAGAGAGAGAGAGAGTCAGAGAGAGAGAGAGAAGAAGCCCTAAGCTGGCTACATCAAGTGCATGCAGTGCATGCCCCTATATGCCCCTAAAGATTGAAACCACTGGGCACCACAATGCACCACATATTTGTGCCCAAAGTCGTGTTCCTACAGGGTGAAGCTCGCTCGAACCAGAGCACACTTTGCCACTCACCAGCCCAGCAAAGTCGAACTGGAACTGCTTGCTGCAAAGACTGCTGCAAAGAGCCGTCTCTTTCGCTTGGGATGTTGGTTTTGTGATAGATGGCTACTATGGCATATGGGACCCCCATGATGGCTCTGAGGAACCGCAGTTCCTTTCCCGAAGTGAGTCCACCACAGGCCACAGGTCAGCAAGACAGGTCGACCACCACCGTTTTGGGCCCTTTTTTGGGGTGTTCGGGCCCAAAGTGAGAGACACAAATGAAGGATAAATGAAAGAATTTCAACTTTTTTTCGGATATACATTGGGTTTGTCCTATTACTTGTAACGTCAGTAAGAAATTGTCACTATTTTTGGACAAGGCCTACAACAACCTAACCGTCATCATCCCAAATTCCATCTCTCCCAACGCGTGTCTGACGTTCGAACTGGGACAGCGCAGGTGACGCGCGAGTGGTCGGACGGGGTGGCAGCGGAGTTGATCCGGAATGCCACACGTGACAACCACAACCCCGTGCCTTGGGCCGTTGTTTCCTTTTTTTCCAGGGCGAATTCCCAAGAGCAGCTGAAAGAAAGAAGCCAAAAAGTTGAGCAGAATCGCCACGCCCCCCGACATTGAAAGGGTCGTCCAATCCCCCCCCCCCAAAAAAAAAAGCGGAAAAGACGCTCTCAGGGGCTCAAGTCCGGATTTGGAGCACTCACTCTTCAACATGGATTACGAAGAATTCAATGCCTTCCCAAAGCTGAAAACCGCCAGAGTGAGAGCAAGTCGGACTTCCTGTGTGGTCTCTCAGGTGGTGGAAAAGGGAACTGGGCATTTTTGATCATTGTTCAAGAGGGTTCAACAACACACCGGCGGTGGCAAATGGACTGAACCTGTGGGATGTTACGGCACTCTCATTCATTTTGAACTGCTCGGATTCTAGAACCCCTGGACACTGAGGATCATCACTGGGTGATGTTCGATGGTCCGGTGGATGCTTTATGGATCGAAAGCAGCTTGGATGAGAGATGTTGAGTGAGGAAGGCTGCCTAGGGATGAGAGTGATCCTAGCCGGTGGGAGGAAGGGAGCGGTCGCTGGGGTATCCTTAGGTAGCCTAGTCAAGAGGGAGAAGTGAACTCCTGGTCACTCCAGAGGAGGAACTCCCCACGGGAGGAACTCGGTCCAAGGGACGTGGTTCATTCGGACGTCCGGCCATGGACGTTGTTTTCCTTGTGGTTCCCTCATCATCTCGCTTGCTTTGTCAGATGCTCCACCCCACACGGGTGCCTTTTTGTGCCCGAGTTTTCATGGCAGTGATTCTAGTAGTGCAACACTCCTTACATTTGAAGAGCAGTCGCTCTCTCATATGCGAAGACCATCTGACAGAGCACCTGCTCATTTGCCCCCCAGACTTGTAAGCAGAATAGGGTTGTGGTAGTGCTTGTGGTCATGGCGAATTTGCACTCTTTGGCTTGTGATCAGGGTGGAAGCAGTGGCAAGTGCCATACATTCAACCTAAACAAGCGGAGCTGGTTGAGGTATGAACACGGTGCTGGATGACAACAAGAAGCTTTGCCTGGTGAGTGGCGAAATCATCGCTTGGGCCTCAGTGTTCCAATCGATTCAAAACGAACAACGTTAAAGGTGCTGGGGTTGGAGTAGTTGGAGGTTGCTATAGCTGACATCTAGAATGATTTGGTGTTACTGGGATCCTAGTTCAGATCGGCCAGACCAAATGCCTGGCAGCTCAAAGCCAGTTGTTTGGAAGGTGCCTAGAAATATTGGATGGTGATGACTCAGTGGTGACCTGGTTTTTCATGACCATGACCATGTTTAAACTGGGATTGTCCTAGCACAAACCAGCCGCACTGCCCAGCCTGGGCTCGCTGGAGGCCTTGACAGCGAAGATGCGGATGCAGTTTGAGGTGGAAGATTTGGAAGTGGCATCGTTCCTGGGCGGCCCTGGGCGGAAGTGTTCGCGTGCTCAAAGGGTACAACGAGACGGTCGATGTCAGGAGTATACACCCTGATGGCGACGATCCCGACCCTGAAAACCACGTCGGTTGGTAGAGGAAAACACTCTTCCAGGGGGCCATTGTCAGGGTCTATGTCAGTTTTCGGGAGTGTACCCTTTTTACTCACCAATGTGGAAGGGGGAGAAGACCCCCTGCGAAAGCCGAGGAAAATGATCTTGCCGGTGGCCATTGTCCACTTCCATGTTAGTGAGTGGGAGTGTAACATTGGAGAAAATCCGACTGCCTTTGGCTCTCTAGATCACCCGGGTGTTTTGGGTCACCCAGTTTGGTGAGAGGAAGCCTTTATTGGATTTCCACTCAGGGGTTCTGCAAGTTTGGCTGTTGTTTGGGCCTCAAGACGAGGCAAATGGATCAGGTTCGGCGCCCTCCCTTTGACGTTTCCCTAGAAGTGCAGTTCGACTATATTCTAACCGACTGAAGTAAAGGAATTTCCGTGTTGGTTGACCTCAAGACCATTCTTTTTTAGTCTTTGACTCCCAACCTGACGTGTTCAAAAAGCCTTTGTCTCCATGAGGCCGGCCACTGTCTCCCGCTGTGGCATGATCTACATGGAGCCTGAGAGCAACTTAGCTGTGCCATCGAGCTTGTTACTGTAACGTAAACAAACGGTTGAAAAAGCTGAACTGCAAGTAAAACTGATTGATACAGGTGTGATAGGTACACTTCCGGACGCCAACATGTTGGACCCATTGGATCCAGCACGGTCAAGTAAATTGATGTTCAAATGGTTTGGGACAGGTGGAGGGAGTTGAGTTTGTACGTGAATCTGAATATGTTACACCTGAAAACTCACAGTCCCTGGTTTTCAGATGTTTTCAGGGTCCATGTGAGTTTTCGATGGGGTATTGCCTTATCAGCCTATGTCGCCTTATCAGCCTATGTCCCCCTATTTCCACCTGCCCTTTGCATTGCCAAGATTTGCTAAGCATATTTCTCTACTTGCTCATGTTCAACCGCTGGAAGACTTGTGGAAGACGGGGGGGAATTTTGCAGTGTCTTGCAATTGAAGTCATGCCCATTTAGCATGATGTCACCCAAACACTCCATGTATGCCATATATGCTGGCTTGGGGGGCCTTGGTGGGGCGGCATATATATGGCAGTCCCAGACAGGTCGTGTTTGGGCTTGCCCATTTAGAAGCAGAACCTCGGACCGTCCGCCAGCGGTGAGGTCGTGGCCGGACCGATCCTATCGGGCCTCCTCAGAGTCGGTTCCTGGCGCCTGGCGCCGGACGGCAACCCCCCAGCAATCGGTGGTTCCAGGCTTCGTCCACCATGGCCAAGGCACCAAGTGCACCAGTACGCAGTAAGCATCCCAAATGGCAACTCGTCCGCTGCATGTCCAGGTCTTGGCTATCAGCCCTTCTTCGACTCCTGGCTGCAGGCGGGACTCCACCTACTGAGTATGTCAATTTTCAATTACAATTCTCCAAATGGCTGGGTAATCTTTTTAGCATGCATCGTGATGGGGATCGATCATTGCAATTCTTGATCTTCAACGAGAAATTCCCAGTACGCGCGAGTCATCAGCTGTGTACCCACCGGTCACGTCACCTCCTAGACCGGTCATCACGACACCGGTCCCGACTGTCCGAGGGTCCGACGCGTACACCTGGGTTCCAAGGCCCACATGGAACCTGAAGACATGGACCTTCAGCCTTCAGTAGACGACGATGTTCCTCTATGACCCGACGTGGTTTTCGGGTTCCATGTGGGTCTCTTCCAGGGCGCCCATCCGGAAGCGTCCAATGCAGATGTCTTTTGTTGTTGAGAGGTCCATGGTCGCGAGTTCGTTTCGTCTCGTTCGCTCGGCGCGCCAGACCTTGCCAGAGACTTTCTCCTTCAAGCCAGTTTTGGTTTGGGAACCTGAGGGGTGGGCGGAGCGCAGAAGTGCCGGTCGAAAAAACACCAAGACGAACTCGGATGGTAATGGGTGCATGCATGGACATTACTTGGTGTGCTTGACACAGAACACCGCAGCAAACCAGACGAAAACTGCCAAGAATACCCTTAATTGGGCCCGACATTTCGGTCATGTTCAGAGTTTCTCTTGTGATCTTGGCACCCTGGAATTGACAGGATTCGCAGGTGTTTGGTGGCTGGCCCATGGTCAGAAGGGCCTATAGAAGTTGCACAACATTTACATGGAGCATTGTGCCATCAGGCCCTACGGATCCGCGAAACCGACTTCAGGAAGACACCTTGCGGAAGCTCTTGACGGATTGTGTGGCGCCTTCGATCTCCTATGCTGGCGACCAAGTTTAACCTTGCTTGGCTTAAATCCGAGGACCGAGCCTAAGATGGTCAATTGAAACTCTGTAGCTGTAGGTGTTCACCCACTGGATTCTTTGTCTTGGAAAACAGTGACGTTCGTGAAGCTACACTGTGGTTGCTGCGGTTGCTCAAAGCCAGTCGACCAGGTCGCGTTAGGGCCATGACCACGTGACATCATGAACACAGCACCACTTGGAAAAGCATTTCAGCCGGAAGACTTACAAACTATATGAGAAATGCAAGCTCACAGTGAATGGTGGCTATCTACTGGATACTAGTTACATCATATGTTACATGTATATAACTAAAACATATATATATATAGAGAGATCAGATCTATAACTTACATACTGTATATATATACTTATATATCTACTAATTACTACTATATGTAATGTTTTCTTATAGACTGTATAGCCCATGTTATGTTTTTCATAACCCCCTTTTCATGGGCGGCCCTTCACCGGGGTCGCAGGCAGGCAGAACGCCACTCCTGGGACCTTCAGACACCCGACCCCCGTGCAGACCGACCGGACCGCGCCCCGACCGCCATGGCGAGCACGGCGCAAAGGACATGGGAGCTGGAGAACCAGGTGGGTCGGGACCACCCCAGACGATCAGACCCAGAACTCGAGGTTGTGGAGGTCGTGGTTGAGGGAATCCTGGAAAAAACCCTGGAACTCTCGTTGGGTCCGAGGACCAACCCAGGGGTTGGAGGGGGTCCTGGTTCATTTGCGGGGGATGTATGACTCATCATCCATAGTGGAATTTGTCCATGAGAGTGTCCCTTTGGCACAGCTGGGGGGACAGCCAAGCTGCAGAGAGAGGGAGAGGAGAGGTGGAATGATTCTTGGGCTCCTTCCCTTCATCGCTCTCTCAGTTGAATCCCAGAGTCGAGTCTCGAGGAAATCTCTGAGGATTCTTCAAAACACTGCTAGATGAATAATCCTGAGCATGACTGTCCTATCTTTGATCGTTGAGCCATGGTCGTAGGGCTGAATTCTCCATTCTGGACCTGGGAGTGGCTGGTGTCCAGTGGGAAGCTTGACCCTTCTGTTTCGTTATCTCTCGTCAAGTGAACCCCCGCTTCCCCTCAACGTCTTTCCAGTCCTGACAGGTAGTTCAAGTGGATGATGCTCAGATCTACGCCTTCGATCAGTCTGAACAAGACGCCATCTTTGAGAAGAAGCCTTGGAAGGACCCGCATTTGTGTGGGTAGTTGTACAGGGCTCACATGCCCAACCAGAAGATTCCCAGACTGGTCATGCCTAGCTGCACCGCTTTCCTGCCCGCCTAGCGCCGCTTTTTCGGTGTGACGTGGCCGGAATCGGGGCTCGTTCGGAACCACTCGAGCGACTCCAGCGATCCACAGGAGGACGTGAACTTCTTCAAGTCTGTGCGCATGTCCGCGGTACCTGGGCAGCAGACGGCAAGCGGCCGGCGCAAGCTCCGGCCTACAAAGGGGAGGGACATGGAGTATGGAGTATGTTGGAGAAGGGGAGGGGTCAATGTTGTCAGCTGGCATGGAGGAGTGAATTTGGGTCAAATACTGTGTGACTATGCAATAAGCCCCAATAATAAGACTATAGTTCAAGGTTTCTCGCTGAAACCAATTTGTTTGTACACCACTGCGTGCCCATTGGATCCGATGGGATGTTCATTTTCGTGTGACCTGCGGATCTTGGACCCGAACACAGTGAACATCAAATAGATCTCATATGCCAGGACCAACACCAAGAGGTGTCTATAATACTATACATACCCTCTTAGCGGTGAGTCGAGGTGTCCAAAAACCATCGGACGAACCGGAAGGTCCTGGTACTCAGTATTCAATGAACCTCTCAGGCAGGCATGATCAGCATATTATAACCTGATACACCCCGGTTCCGAGACCCAGATTGGAACCTGTTGGCATGGACCTTCGGAAGACTACTGAGTGACTACTGTTTCTTCCTATCCAACCCTGTGGTTTTGGGGTTCCATGTTCATTTGCAGGGGGTAAGGTCACCCATGGTGATTTCCATGCATGAATTGATCTCCACGTGTTTGATCATAAAATTCCCAGGTGGCCATGATCAAGATCGTGATGCACGCCAAGTCTGGCGCACCTCTAGAAGTCATGGGCCTCATGCAGGGCAAGGTCACCGCAGATCGTCTCTTGCTCGGCGCAGAAGGGCGGAATGGTGAGGTGGACGGGATTTCTGATTGATTGAATATGATTGAGTACTGTATTTGGTTTGCTTGTGAGCTTGCCGACGACATGTGTCGAAAACTATGGAACTTTCAGTACCTATACTGCAGACTCTGTTGGTTGAAGTGAGGTTCCTTTGACAAGACAGGTTTCTGGGGTCCTTTGCTGGCAGATGGGCCATGGGTGTGATGAGCCTTTAGTGACTTTAATGCTTTAGCGGCACCTCCTCGTCATCGCGGGTCTTTGTTCACAATTGGAAGAAAAAACAGGAGCCTGACTTTGTCGTACCGGAGGTGAGATTGCATTGAAGCAAAGAATGCGGTGGAGCACCGAATATCCTTCAGGTTTCGCCTTTTAAGCACCTACAAGCAGGGTGCCTTAATCATACCCGGACACGACTAGTGGGACTGCCATATATGCCGCCCCAGACAGACCCCTTTGGCACCACCCCAACTGATTGGTAAATATGACAGTCCCATGGAGTGTCTGGGATATGTTCACTCATTTGTCCTCAAACTGATCACCTGCTTTGGTCGTGGGGCTTCCACTGGGCGGCTCCCAGCTTGGCAGACCTCCAGCTGGTTTGTGCCTTGGATTTGAGGGGCTGAAGCATGTTCTACCAGATCCTTGTCTATCTTCCATCCACTCATTTGCACGGCTCCAAACTGGTTCGATTCTTCCTGTCCATCCGGGCACACTGCCATGGGACGGGACAGCATCAATCAGTAGTTCTACGTAGTTCTCGATTCGTCACTACTATGTCGAGCCATGCCCTACTTCATCATCCTCACCCATGTCATCCAAGGCGAGTTTATCATCATGGACGCTTTCCCTTTGCCAGTAGAGGGCACTGAGACACGCGTGAATGCCGGTGCGGGCGCCAATGAGCCCTTTGGATGCAGCTAGTGTTGATATTACACGGACCGGCGGGCGTAGTGTTGTTGAACGACACAAGCCTTTCCGCAAGCAGTCCATGCAGCTGTTTTTCAATTGTTTGTTTTTTTGATTTTACGTTGGTCCTCCAGTGAGTTTGGATAGTAAAACTATGTCAACCTGGGTTTTCAGGTGTGGCTTTGCCAAACACAAGCCAGCGCAAAGCAAGCCATTAAGGGCTAGACAGATCAACTGGCTGGGGCAGCCGTCCAAGGCTGCCCAGATGGTTTGGACATGTTTCAGACTCATCACAGCACGGACCCAGGGCCCCAACGAAGATACGGCAGCCTTGGGGCATCCCAGTACTTGGGAGGTCCGCCAGGACTTGAACGGTCCAACAGTATGAAGGTTCAGAACCTGGATCAATCACATCGGTGTGGGGCTTCTTGGTCACCTGCGAATCTGAGGTTTATGGTGACCTATACCGAGACCAGTGAGCGCATTGGCAAGGCAAGTTGTGATGAGGAAGCAAAAGGGCTGCATGCAAAGCTCGTTGCGTTGTTGAAGGTTTATGGTACGGGTAATGATTATGGGGACTCTTGCAATAGAAAACCTCCTATGAAGAGGTCTTTACGATCCAAACGTGCCTGGGGATGGTGTAGTAGCGATCAGGACTCGCAAGGGTTTGACGATCCAAATGTGCCTTTTTCTTAATGAATAAAGATTCGACATCATCATGGATCCATCGAACTCTTTGGGCTTGATTCCAAGAACACCGCCCATGTGAGCGCCTTCCTTTTGAGCTTTAGCTGAGCGTCTTGAGCGTTCGATCGGGCGGTGTCCCCGGCGGTGTCGAGCTTCCCTTTGGCTCCAACAACAGGTGGAGAACATATGTGGATGGTACCATTCCCATCCAGGCTATGGATGCTGGCTGAGCCTTTTCCGCAATCCGAAGGACGAGGAACTGGCGCATTTGTGCGCGTGAGTTGCTTTTTGGATTGGTGTGATTGATGGTGTTTGATCAAATTTGTTAGTAGTCCTGTCAGCAAGACTGTGAGGACATAGCAGCAGGCGCTGAATCCATATATGGGATCCTGTGAAACATTGATTTTGGGATTGACGTGAATCGTGCCTACAAATTCCGATGCCTGCTGCCCACTGCATGAAGGAACCAAACGAATCTGAAAGGAGGCGAAGTTGGCCTCGACTCGGGGAAACACAGTTTTTGCGGTCCTTTAGCAAAAACGGTCAGACATCCGCAAGCCTTTGATGTTTTATTCCCTTCAACCAATTCATTGAATGGGTTACATGGCAAATTTGCAGGACACCACCATGGTTTTCACCATGAACACTGGTTTCTTGCAGCTTTTCCCTTCCAATTGAACACGATGGGATGCAGAAGGGATACCTCTCCGGACAAGTCCGGTCGTCCCCGGTGTTCGGCTCGTGCTGAGGAGTGGGATCGATGTACAAACACAGATGACCTACCAACAGCGACTCGCATGGGTTCGACCTACCAACAGCGACCGGACAGACCTGTCTCAGACACGACCTGTCTGCGCCTGTCATATTTGCCGGTCAGTTGGGATGGTGGGTTTGAGGGGTCTGTCTGGGGCGGCAGTCCTATGACAGTCCCATGGAATCCCATGGAGTGCTGTCCGGATGGACTCGATGGTCGACTGGACTTCAGTCCAGACCCACCTCCATGCTTGGACTTGAATGGACTTCCCCGCTTTCGTGCGTTTAGAGGTGTTCTCGAAATGCACATGGCACCCGCGTTGGAATCGTTAGAGGAAGCCTGGAATGTTTCCCCATGTTTGGGTCGGTGTGATGGACAGTTCTGGGCAGTGCTGGTGGAGTCGGATCAACCTCCATTTGGGTCACAACTCTGAACCCCCGCCATGTCCAA